AAATCAGGCATTCAAATAATCGATGAGAAGAATTCTGTGAGATGCCAAATACTGAACTTCAATATATTCTTACTGGAAGCATTAAGACTTCTAGATAACCAATCAAACCAAATAGCTGGCTTGTAAAAACCGACAGATGACATTTCCCACAGATGGGGAGTTCAGAAACTAGAAGGCCCCATCCTGATTTTAAGGCATAACTGGGTTGTGAGGCAGACAACAGCCGGGGAATCCAAACTATGCAAGCTCGAATGTATCAGAGAGACAGCTAGACTGCTTCATGGGAGCTGAGGAAAAGAAAAGGAATGAAACAAACAGCAAGAGCCACAGAGACGGAAGTGTGGAACTTGACAAGGCCACGAGGGCATAAATAACATTTAAATGACTTGACCAAACCCTGGCCGGCTAGCTCAATTGGTTGGAATGTTGCCCCAATACGCCAAGATTGTGGGTTCAATCCCCGGTCAGGGCACATACAAGAAACAACCAGCGAATGCATAAGTGGAACATCAAAGTAATGTTACTCTACAAAGTAATGTTACTCTCTCAAAAAATCAATCAATAAATTTTAATTGCTTGCACAAGATGCTGCCTCTGATCATGATGCTCATTTCCCTCTGAAAGACCCTGCTCAGCTGGCTCAGAGCCCCGCATGGGCCCTTTTGTCACTGTCAGTGACAGCTTCTCCCTGAGGCTCTCTCTCAGTCTTGCCATCATCATGTTCTGAGTGTGATGCCAGCCCACACCTGACAAGTGGCCAGTGCGCAGCTGCTCCTCCTCCAAAGAGAGGCCCCAGCAGGGACAGGTCTCAGCTCCAAGTCCTCAGAGGAGTCCGGACACAGAATGGGGAGCAGACCAGGCCTTGGTGGCACTCCCATGGCTGCCAGGAGAGAAGCTGTCTTTCCTAGGCTACTATCCTAGGGCTGATGCAAGGTTAACTGGGGCTAATGTTGTTCAATGAGGGAGGATTAAAGTGCTGAGGTTTCAATTCTCCAGAAATTATTTTGGACTCAGCACCCAAGAAGCTGTAGAAATGTGTGACCCTGTTCTCTTGCAACGTCAGCTCAATGCTGTCATCTTTTCATTGAAGTCGGAAGACTCTGCTAACCCAGTAGTATTTATAGCATAACATTAATTCCTTTAAAAGTGCTTCATAGGAGATTAGGTCAAACAGCAGAAGGGCAGAAACAAGAAGCCTGGGTAGCCCTGCTCCCTCCTAGGGGTCTGGGCTGTGCAATCACTTTGTCACGTTTGGATAACTTTGCCTTGTGTTTGGATTTCCAACAGGCCTCTGGCATTTCTGCAGAACAAACACAGTGCTACCACAAATCAGATTACATAAAATGCATTCAGATAACGTTTGTGTAAAATCTGGCACCCTTCTGAAGAACGTCTGGAATGGAACAAGAAAGATTAAACACTTTATTATTCACTCAGGTATGCTGAGCTCAGGTACTTCTGAATTTTAAACACAAAACAGATGGATAGAATCCACTTCATCCACCGGAAGGGTAGCAGCAGGTCTGTGAGTGGCACACAGGGGAGCGGTCTGCTTCATCAAGGGGATGCCAGATTTCTGGGGCTCAGCTATAATTGAAGCTATTAGTTCCATTAGCACACGGTGGGCTGACAGCATGCCAGGCACTGACAGGCAGCCCACAGCTCCGTGGGATGCTTTGGATTCCCTTCCTCATATATGTGCTTCTTAAGACAGACTGCTTCCAGGAAATGTGAGGTGCACACCCAGCCTGGGGACCTCAGAGGCGCAGGCGCAGGTGGCAGCTGGCCAGGCCCTTTCCTGCCACTGCCCTTCTGGGAGCAGCCAGACGCTGCCAGGCGGCACCTCCCTGAATAAGGGTCCTGATTTGGGCTTCCATCCATGTCCAATCTTAATTTGGCAACTTCTCCTGAATTTCTCTAAGGAGCCACCATCTTGAGGTCCTGTGTGGTTGTTATCACATGAAAATGATCAGAAGAGGATGGAATTTGAAAGCAGCTGGGGTGTCAGAATCCAGGTGAACTGAGTTCTGCAGGTCTGCCCAGTCCAGGGCCCACACCTCTGAATTACCCATCTGTCCATGGAGGAAGATAGCACACCTCCCAGACTCCATTACTTGGGAACAAAGCATAAACTGCTTCCTGTGCCTCAAGGAGTCTGTGCCCAGCCACAAGCATGGCCAGGTATGGACTGCTGCGGGCCTGTGCATTTCCACTGCCAGGCCCAACCTGGGGAGTCATCCGAGCTAAGCTGCTTTCCATGTGGGAGCAGGACTTTCATCCGAGGAGCCTTTCATTAAGAGGGACCCTGGACTCAACTGCTCCTTCCTGACATAGGAGAACTGTTAGCAGAGAGTAAGCCTTGGGTGAAAGCAAAACACCTACTAAGTGTCTAACAATGTGGGCCTGTCAAAACCGACCCAATGTTGGTTTTCATTAGCAACACACTTAAGAGGGCAAAGGTGGTGAGTAATATCACTCACCATGTCGATTCCTACAAGCCTGACCCTGCCCAGCAATGAACCACACTGAATGAAGCCTGCCCTGTTTCACTAACTGGAGAGAGGGAACTGGGGCAAAGAACCAGAAATGTTGACAGCAATTATGGCTCTTCCCTTTCTAAATCTGTCCCCTGTTCTTTCTCAGCAATTCGGGGGCCGAGGGGATCTTGTCTTCCAGGAAAGATGTCCTAGTGAGAGGGTGGGACCACCCCCACATCTGCCAGCTGAAAGGCCCAGCACGTCTCCTCAGAAGGCTGCAGGTGGAAGGGAGCAGATCAAGACCCAAGTGACTTTCAAACATGAACACAAAGGGTAGTGCAACCACTTCACTTCACATCCTATTAATATCAGGGGGATTTGAGCTTTGAGAGCTGAGAGCTCAGCAGGAGCAGCTGTGACCAAGGCCTCCTCCACACCAGCTACACGGGAATTGCTTTCCTCTGGCCTGGACAAGACAGGTTGTGATCAGACCTGAGCATCGGTGAGGCCCTGAAGAGTCTGGTGTGGGCATCTCTGGCGGTTCCTGGACTCCCACATCCACAGGGTGCTGGCTGGTGGGTGTGCCTCCAGGGGCTCCTAGGCTGATGGACTGAGCAGTCAGCCTGGCTTAGGTATGGTTCCTAAAAGCAGAGAGGCTGCCCCCTTGCTGACCAGGTCACCCCCAACTGCCCCCTCTGCCAGCCTGGTTGCCCTTTGAATACACAATCCAGGGTTGAGGGTCTCATCCAAGCCCTAGCTAGCAAATTCCATTCAGAAGACTGATTTTACATGGAAAGGTTTTAAAAGATTTGCAGAGTGTGTCCAGATGAGAGAAAATGAGCATAAACCTTTCATACAGGCCGATAAAGAGAGGGGGTCCCTGTTGTGGACCTAGGCCCACACTCCAAGGAGCCGCTAGGCAGGCAGTGGCCCCTGAGCACCAGGGCTGTCTCACTGGCTGAAGCAAGGTAAACCATATCACCAACAAGTTTCTAATATAGATTACATGTTAAAATGATAATATATTTGGATATGGGGTTTAATAGATTATACTAACAAAATTAATGTTTTAATTTTATTTTAAAATTATTTTAACTTTTTAAAAAGGTGGCTACTAGGAGATTTCACATTAGATATGTGTCTTGAAATAAATTAATTGGACAGCATTAATTTAGAAACCGGGAGTATAATCCTGGTTGATCCAGTGTCTGGATGGGTGGCAAGTGAGGCAAGCTCATTGGAATCAGATTCATTTTGTGAAATAAGCCTACTTCCTTCACAGTTAAAAGAAGAGCTAGCAATGCCACCCATACCAACTCGGGCTGGCATCCTGCTCCCGTTTCTCTACAGAAAGCAGGCCTGAGCGGTGAGCCTGAGCAGTGGTGCCTGCTCAGGGATGACACAGGGAAGGCATAGCTACCACAAAAGTGGGTTTGTGTATTCTGTTATAACTAGAGGCCCAGTGCACAAAATTCGTGTGTGGGGGGGAGGGGGGTCCCCTCAGCCCAGCCTGCACCCTCTCCAATCAGGACATACCTCTCACAATCCTGGACCACTGGCTCCTAATTGCTCACCTGCCTACCTGCCTGGTTGCCCCTAACTGCCCCCGCCCTGCTGGCCTGATTGCCCCTCACTGCCTCTGCGTGCTGTCCTGATGACCCCTAACTGCCCCCTCACTGGCCAGGTCACCCCCAACTACCCCTGCTGCCAGCCTGGCCGCCCCTAACTGCCCCCCACACCAGCCTAGTTGCCCCTCACTGCCTCTGCGTGCTGGCCTGATCGCCCCTAACTGCCCCCTCACTGGCCAGGTCCCCCCCAACTGCCCCCCCTGCCAGCCTAATTGCCCCAACTGCCCCCCCTGCCAGCCTAATTGCCCCAACTGCCCCCCCTGCCAGCCTAATTGCCCCAACTGCCCCCCCTGCCAGCCTAATTGCCCCAACTGCCCCCCCTGCCAGCCTAATTGCCCCAACTGCCCCCCCTGCCAGCCTAATTGCCCCAACTGCCCCCCCTGCCAGCCTAATTGCCCCAACTGCCCCCCCTGCCAGCCTAATTGCCCCAACTGCCCCCCCTGCCAGCCTAATTGCCCCAACTGCCCCCCCCCCACCAGCCCGGTCATTAGCCGCCATCTTGTGAGGGCATGAGGGTTAATTTGCATACTACCACTTTATTATATAGGATATCCTGGTGCATGGCAAGAAGAGTATTGTTCTAACAAAATGAGGATAGCACAATGATTTTCCAATAGATGGCTGAATGCATCTTGAGGAGAAACACATTTTTCTGATTTGCATAAAAATGGTAGTTGGGTTCAGTTAGTTGGACCTGCGGCCTGCCTAGATTCCACTGTGACAACCAGCTGTTTGCTGGTCTGGCCTCCCTGTCTGCCATGTGCCTGGTGCCCACCTTAAAGCCTTAATTGTACAAAATGTCTTTGGTGTCTGGTGCCCAAGAGTTACAATAACCAGCTGGGCCAGGGCTGCCAAAGAGTTACAATAACCAGCTCACCCAGGATGGGCTGCTTACCTTTTCAGTTTTCTTCTCATCTGGTTTGCATCCCACGTTGGTGGGGCTGGATGTAGACAGGCCACTGACGGTCCCCACTCCGGCCTCCCCGTTGAGGTTGGCAGCAGTGACATTGGGAGGTGTGACGGCCGATGCCGCTGACGTGAGAGGGATGGCTGGCCAGGGGCACTGGGCACCAGTGATGGTCTGCACTGGGGGCTGGTGGAGATGCTGCAGGGACACCATGGAGTGGGGCCTGAGGCTGGCAGTGGGCAGGCGGGACGGGGAGTTCTGGGTGCACAGGGGAGACACCATGGTGGTTGGTTGGTCCTGAGCCTGAGCAGAGGAGAGGGCAGCTGGAGCACAGGGTGGGAGAAACAGTGAGTAGAAAGTTTAGTTTGAAACCTGCCATGCAATTGCAATAGACTCTTTCCTGAGACAATCTTCCCAGTCTCTGTACAACTGAGACTATGAACCAGGAGGTTATGGTTTGATTCCCAGATCAGGGCACATGCCCAGGTTGTGGGCTTGATCCCCAGTAGGGGGCATGCAGGAGGCAGCCAATCAATGATTCTCACTCATCATTGATGTTTCTATCTCTCTCTCCCTCTCCCTTCCTCTCTGAAATCAATAAAAAATATATATATTTTAAAAAGATCTAGGACTCTAAAGAAAAATAGAGTTCCTTCCAAACACAGCGCCATGTTAAAATGAATCCTACTACAGCTTGCGTTAGTAATTTTGAAGAACCATTTCCTTACTAATTACAGAAACAAATAGGGGAGAGAATGGGCCACACCATAGGGACAGAGTTCTAGGCAGGTGGGTCTGGCCTAAAAAGAGACTTCGTGGGTGGTAGCCGACATCACTTCACACCAAGTGTCCCTCTAATGCCGCACTGCTCAGTCCGGTGTGTTGGCCTTGTTAACCAGAGAAGAGGGATGCCACACTGCCGCAGTGTTCCAGTGCCAAACTTTGTGGCATGCATGGCCTCAGCAACATGGAAATATACAAGCAATGAAGCCATGTTCTCAGCCCCCACCTTGGACAAAGCGCACACTCAGACACCTGCCCGGCTCCCCGCGCAAGCAATCCCTTCCTCTGACAGTGTGCTAGCAGCCCATCCTCTCTCTTTCCAGGAGGTGCGATAGAGGAAGGCTTATTTATGGCTTTAAAAAACTACTCAGAATTTGGGATGGCTTTGGATCCTTCCTCAACGTGGCTCCTCCTTTCAAAGAAAGACCAGGTTAGGCAATGATGCAGATCGATGAAGCCACTGGGGTCACTTAATCCCCCTGAGGTAATCAGTCATTTATCTGCCTCTCCCCTGCTGCCCAGCTCAGCAGCCTGTAACGGGAGGTGACAGCTCAGCCAGGGAAGGGCAATGGCACTTGGGTCCTGAAAACCCTGTAGGGTGGCTTCCGGTTCTTCTGCTGAGCTCTGGCACAGCTCGCCTCCACCTCTGGCTAGCTTCCACCTGACTGCACATCTCCTTACTAAAACACTACAAAATAAGGGACGGTATCAGCAGATAAATTCCTTTGTATGGCTTTCCAGTGTCACGAATTTCTATCTTCAACTGAGTCTAGTCTAGAGTTTATGTCACCGTGGAGTTTTGTAATTAAATAAATATATTTTCTCCTTCCAAAATTTCAAGTTGCTTCTTTTTCGTATCAAACAATTTCTGATTCATAGCTATCCATCTCTTTTTTCTTCACCACCCTGTCTTCTCCTTTTTTTAGAGGGTGGATGCTATTTCTTCTATTTCCTTTTAGAGGATTTTAAATATACTGACATCAGTGACTTCTTTAGATTTCTCTTTTATTTCCCTCTCATTTCTTAAGTTTACTGGCTATCCTTTATGTATTAGCAGTCCCAGCCCTGAGATTTTAGTTCATCTGAGCAGGGGTGTCTTATTGCTGTTGTTTCTGCCCTGGTTTACTTCTCTGGGTCTGCAGTCTTGTCGCTCTTCTACATGGACCTCTGGGGCCTCCTCTCAGAACCAGTGTAACAGGATCACTTGAGTTCTGGTCTCTCAGGGAGGGTGAAGACCTAGTCCTCAGGCCAGAGCCAAACTCAGCTCTGTGCTCAGGTAGGACTCTCTTCTCTCCACGCCTTCTGCAGCGCTCAGTATTGCACATGCCCCCAGGAGAGGTTGGGTCTGGTCCCCTGATACTTGCCTTGAGCTCCTGCCCATACGCTCTTGCAGGTGTTGAAAGTCAGCTCACACCACCTGTTTTCCACCCTGGAGCCTGTAGGCCAGCACTTGAACCCCACCTGCTGTTGTGTGTTCCACTTTGTTTACATCCATAGAGTTGACTTTTAAAAAGTTTTAAAAACAAACAAGCAAACTCTCTGTGTTTAGAACAGAGAAAGTAGGGGAGTTCTACATAAACTCATTCTTCCATACTGTCCAGGGGTCATCCTGTCACTTCTCATTCCACAGAAATATGGTGTCTTACTCGATCAATCTATCAAATATTATCTGGAAAACACCAGTTATGGCTCCACCTATTTTCAGAAAAAGAATCCATTGATCTAGTTGTTTGCCTTTACAACAATATCACACTGTCTTGATTATTGTAGTTTTATAATGTCTTGAAATCAGTGTTAGCCTTTCAAATTTGTTGCTCTTTTCAAGGCTGTCTTTTACTCTTCTAGGTCCTTTGCATGCTTATGTGAATTTGAGATCTAGACTGTCAATTTCTATTAAAAAGTTGGGTGGGGTCTTGATTGGTATTCGATTGAATCTATAGGTCAATTTTGGGAGAATAAACACTTTAATATATTAAGTCTTCTCACTCGCTAATATTCTCAGTCATCTCTCTACTTATTTAGGTATTCTTCAATTTCTCTTAGCAATACTTTGTAGTTTTCAGTGTATAGTTCTTCCTCATCTTTGATCACATTTGTCCCTAAGTATATTATATTTTTGATGCTATAAAATTGCTATTGTTATTTTTTAAATGTCAATTTCAACTATTCACTACTAGTATGTAAAAATACAATTGATTTTTGTGTATTAATTTGTGTCCTGCACCTTGCTTAACTCATCTGTTACCAAAAAAAAGCAAAAAAAAAGCTGTGTGTGTATGTGTGTGTGTGTGTGTGTGTATTCCTTAGGGTTCTCTCTATATGATATGTACCCTGCAAACTGAGATAGTTTAGCTCCCTCCTTTCCAATCTGTATGCCATTTACTTCTTTCTCATTACTAACCTCTTGGGTTAGAAGTTATAATACAATATTGAGTAGAAATGTCCAGAGTGGGCATTCTTGTCTCGATCCTGCTCTCAGGGACAAGTTCTCAGTCTTTCACAACAAGTTAAATGCTAGCTGCGGGCTTTCATAGATGCCCTTTATCAAGTTGAAGAAGTTCACTTCTGTTTTCTCATTTTATGAGAGTTTTTATTAGGAATGGATGATAAATTTGGTCAAATTTTCCCCCACCCCACATCTATTCGACTGACCATGTTATTTTTCTCTTTTAGTTTATTAATAAGTGAATTATATCAATTAAACGTTAATGAAACCTTGTATTCCTGGGATAAACCCTACTTGGTCATGTTGTATTAGTATCCTTTTTGTTTATTGCTATATTTTACTTGTTAAAATTGTTTAGAATTTGTTTATGTTTATGAGTAATATTGGTCTAGCAGAGGTCGGCAAACTGCGGGTCGCGAGCCACATGCGGCTCTTTGGCCCCTTGAGTGTGGCTCTTCCACAAAATATCGACTTCTGCACATGGGCCACGAAGTTTCAATCGCACTGTACATGCGCGCCCGCACGTGGTATTTTGTGGAAGAGCCACACTTAAGGGGCCAAAGAGCTGCATGTGGCTCGCGAGCCGCAGTTTGCTGACCACTGGTCTATAGTTTTATTTTAATGTCTTTGTCTGCTTTTAGTATGAGGGTAATGCTAGCCTTACAGATAGAGTTAGGAAATATTTTCTTTTTCTTTTTTCTTCAATTTTCTGGAAGAGTTCCCAAAGAATTGTTAAAATTTCTTCCTTGGCCATTAGGTATATTTCACCAATAAAGCCACTTAGGCCTGAAGATTTCTTTATGGAAGGTTTTTAACTAATTCAATTTCTGTAATAAGGATTGGCCTATAAGATTATTAACTTCTTTTAAGTTTATTAATTTGTGTATTTAAAGGAATTTATTTATTTGTCTAATTTGTTGAGTTTATTGGCAGAAAGATATTTTTCTTTTTTTTTATTCTAGTTTCTTAAAGTGAAACAGGTAATTGATTTAAGAATTTTTTTTTCTAATATAGGTGTTTAGTGATATAAATTTCCAAATTTTGATATGGTGTGTTTTTATTTCCATTCACTTCAAAATGCTCTCTATTACTACTTTGATTTCCTTTCGATCCCTGGGTAATTTTGAAGTATGCCATTTAGTTTTCAAATATTTGGAGATATCTTTGTGTTATTAATTTCTAATTAAACTTTATTGTAGTCAGAAAATATAGTTTGAGTGACTTTAAATTTTTAAAATTTGAGGTTTAAATATTATGGCCCAGAATATGATCTATCTGGTAAATGTGTGCACCTGAAGAAGTGTGTATTTTGCTGTTTGGTGGAGTATTCCGTAAATGTCAATTTAGTCAAGCTGGTTATGTGTTGTTCTAATGTTCTATGTTCTTACCAATAATATGCTTGTATCCATTATTGAAAGAAGTATTGCAACCTCTGACTGCAATTGCAGGTTTATCTGTTTATATCTCCCTACAGCTGTATCAGTAATTGCTTATTTATTTGAGGCTCTGTTATTTGAAGCATAAATATTTAGTCCCTTTGATGAATTAACTCTTTTACCATTGTAAAATTGACTTTTTTTTTTTTTTTAGTAATAACATTCTCTGTTCTGAATTCTACTCGGTCTTATATTAATATGACCAAACCACATTTCTTTTGATTAGTATCGGCATGGTAGTCAATCCTTATTATTCACAGATTCTGTATTTGCAAATTCAGCTACTAGCTAAAATTGATTTGCAACCTCTGGTGCTTTTGCAGTCACTCTCCGACATGCACAGATTAGCAAATAATACAAGTCACCCACGCACTTGTTTCCAGCAGAGGTGCGCCAAGGTGATGCTCTTCCTTCTCATTTCAGCTCCTACAGAGATGCCCAGGGCAGAGAGACAGGAGGGGCACAGGCAGTGCAGCACAAGAAGCTCCAGCTCTGGGGGAGGTCGGATGGGTTGAATCTTGACCCTGTCACCTATTAGTGGGGTGGCCTCAGGCAAGTGACTTAATACTTCCAAACCACATGTTCTCTTTTGTAAGATAAAGAAAATAGAACATTTAAGATTAAAATCTACGTGAGCTACACACACATATTTCACTTA